ACACATACGAGACTATTCGTGGAAGCCCGGCCATGGTGGCGGTCAGCTGCAGAAGGGGGAATGGGACTCAAGGAGGGGGGGAGAGAGGGACCATTCGTTGCCCCCTGAAGAACTGGCGCCCTGCACTCCAAATGCAGCTGGCTGGCCTCTCGGGGGGGGGGGACAGGCTAGGGGACTCTTGGTTTTGCACAACACACAAACAGAAGGGCCACCTCCAGAAATCTTGGGGAGGGAGAGACAGCCTCCCCCTCGTCGTGTGTCTGGATCACTCCAAAACAGAAGCTGAGTTTTGTACAATGGAAGAGTCCCTGCTGCAAACCTTCCCCCCCCCCAAAACCCACAGGCTGGGTAGCAGCGAATTCACCCCACGCGGATCTCCTGCGTAGCCAGAATGGAACCATCTGCCCACCAAGGGCTGAGATGCAAAATTCTCAAGGTGGTGGAAGTGCCATAAAATGGGAACCTCTCCAGTCAGGACCGGCGGGGGGGGGGGTGGTGAGGAAGACTGCTGGATCAGGGCCCCTGCAAGGGCAGCCGACTGGGAGAGGAGCAGCCAGTGAGGTGGGAAGGTGTGAGGTGTGTAGTGGAGCACCCGGGGGAGGGGCCCCGGTCGGACCCTGCAAAGAAGTGCAACACATCACAACAGGATTGTGAAACCTGCCTGTAATAAAATAACATTCATACAACCGTGGCTCACATTTCCATTCTGGCTTTCTATGAAAAGTCCTTGTGTTTGCAAGGGACCAGTTGGGGATTGCACCTATCCCCCCCCCCCCGCACCCCACCCACCCCACCCGTTGCAAAAGTGCAAGCTCAAATCATGGTGTGAAAGAAAGGCCGGGCCCTGCAGCCACCTCCCGGCTTTCCTGACAACATCTGAGGATGAAACAGCCGGAGCTGGCAGCTGGGTGGGTGGGTGTGTTGGGGGGGGTGTGCCCATCATGCCAGGACAGCTTGGGCACTGGAGCAGAAAAGCCTCTCCCCCCCCCCGTGTCTTGTGTTTGCTCCTCAGAGTCTCTTCATGGGTCCCTTCCCGAAAATTGCGGGAAAAGGTGTGGAAGAAAAGCCAGCGGTGAGGGAGGGCCCTCCTCCTTTGCTGAGGCTCCCCGTGCAGGGCTGGGCTGTTTTTGAGGAGCTTCCCATTATTTCTAGGGCCTGACCCTGCACCAACTCCACGCCAAGGCCCAAAGGGCTGGGGACACTCTTAAGACCAATCCGTTTATTTGAGTTTGGGGTTTTGTGGGTTACAGTCCCCTTTTCCAGACACTGTTGGAAGGAGCGAGTTCTAATCCATGGACCTTCCCATTGAAATAACACTGCTAGTCCCACCTACTTCTGTTGCCATGCTTGCTTTCTGTTTTCGCAATGGACCAGCGCGACGGCTCCTCTGAAACCTTGAAGCCACTGGGCATTACGAGCCCGGCGTTGAACGAAGCGCTCTTTCCCCTCCCAGGCACCGTCCAGCCTCAAGGTGGAGTCCGAGGCTTGTGCAA